ATTTTTCCAAGCAAATAAACGAATAGAACTTGAATTGTATGCGGGTACTCACTAAAAACAGCTCCTATATTATATTTAAATCTCTAAATCGTAATCATTTTTGTTCGAAACAAAGTCATTTTTGTGACGCATGTATTGTTTTTCTCTTGTGTGAGGAATCACACGTTGAAAGGTGAGACCTCGTTAATCCTTAGCTTGCACAAGTTTCGACTTCTGAAGGTTGATTCTGAATCCCGAAATGAAAAATTGTAAAAAAATAGAAACCAAAGGTTAATTTAAAGGTATACGTTCTAACTTGGCGTTGAAGTCTCCAGCCCTTTAGATTTTTTGATACCAGGTTGTAGGGCAACAGTTTATTCTCGATACAGTTAATGAAATTGACCACAATACGGACTCTGCTGATCTTGATGAGAGAATTTATAGATAGTGAGATATATAGTGTCCATTATGAAAAAACGTTTTCCAGTGAAATAAAATTTCACCGGAATTACTAAGTCGCTTTTAGGTCCAAAATCCATGCTTTATCTCATGGAGGTTCATTCTGTTCATTCCGTGTTAGGAATCACACGTTAAAAGGTAATACCTCGTTATTCCTTAGCTCGCACAAGTTTCTCAACTTCTGAGAGTTGTCGTTCGTATGGGGGCGGCAGCTGATTAACGGAAAAACAGATTTTTTTAAACAGACAGATTTTGGAACCCCCTAGCGGACCTTGTGGAACACCCAAATCGAGGTGTACGTGTGTAAAAGTGAGATGATGCAATATAAGTGTGTGTGAGAGGAAGAAGGCGATGACGTCAATATGGAGTTGAGAAAAGCAAACGGCATGTCAGAAGGGCAGTAAGCCATATATTTGCTAATAAAAGTCGCAATATCACGTGCAGCACATCAAATGGAAATGGAAGGATTGCAGAATTATTGACGAAGAAAAAACAAAGACTGCGGCATGTGAAACGAGCAATAGTCGTGATGGTGCAGAACATCAAATGAAACGAGAAGGAAAGCAGAATTCATTGACAAAGAACAATCAAAGGTTGTGACATATAACAAAGGCACTACACTGGTAAAAATTTTTCCACCGGTACCGGTGGCAATTTAATTACCGCCCATATTAGCGAGAAATTACTTTCGTGTGTGATCTCACATTCCATGCGGAATATTATTTTGTAATTCTACCCCGAAGACAAGTGTGGAATTTTTCAGTGTAATTTTTAAATAATACGTTATGATTTCACACATATATTAGATGAACATTTAATTCTCAATGAAAAGTACATTGCCTACTGAAATTACGCTCGGGGATGTGAATTATTCAATAGAGAGAGTATATTTTCAATAAAACTGAAGTAATTTTCTTCGTTCGAAATGAAAATTCCGAGGTAGATTTCAATCATTTTTCCCGGTGTAAGTCATATCTATCTTATTAACAGTCGGACCGTAACGTGCAGCAGATGAGAGCATAGGGGATGCCGCAATGGGTCCCACTTGTCATCTGCCATTTTGTCACTTTAGAGGTAGTGAAAAATCTTTCATGCGTCGAAGGACGCATGTCGATGGTATATAAAAATCGGCACAGTTCGTATAAAATATTTTTACAGCCAGTTAATTCAATATCAGTCATAGAAATTCAGTTTATTAAAAAGAAAATATTGTATTTTATTCATTGTTGTTCCTTGAAGAAGGTTTTGATAATTTCTATAAAGAGGCAAAACAATTTCTACATTTTCCTATTTTCTGCAGCTTCTTCAAACATAAAGTTAGTATCCAATAATTGATACGAGTATCTTTCGACTGCAGAATTTGAATTTTCTGTATCTGTATCTGTAGAGTAGGGAGGGTGAGTGTAAGCCTTAGGCCACATTTGACCCATTGTACATCCTCCCGAGGAGTTGTCCTCCTAGGTCATCTTCCATCATGTCCTTTCCAGGAAGGTGGACAGGTCGCTGGGAGACATCTCCTTCATATCGGCAGGTGTAGGCCAAGACTCACCGAACACACTCTCTCATTGACGATAACTCCAGGCACTCGCACAGGACATGCCTGACAGTCTCATCTTCCTGTTCACACATCCTGCATAGAGGTGTGTCCACTAGCCCCATATTATGTAGGTGTTTCCTTAGCTGACAGTGGCCAGTCAGAAATCCTAATGTAAGGCGTAAACATTCCCTGGTCATCGCTAGATATTTTTTCGGCGCCAGCTTCCCAGGGTCGCCCAAGGTGATCCTGGCAAGATTACATCCTTTGATTTCATCCCATCTCTTTAAGGATTGAGCGTGGGTGTAACATTTGACTAGTTCCGCAATTGTCGAAGTCATCAGGCCGTGGGTGCCACTTGGTCCTAAAATTCTTAGTCCAGCCGCTTNCAAATGAATTTAATCTTCAGCGACTCAAATCCAACGTGAGTTGCTACTTTCGAACAGGCACCGCTCTTAGAGCGCCTTGAGGATTTTCTTGTGGTGCTTGTGTTTTGCTCTTAAAAAATGGCAATCTAACACATATTGGAAATGCTTGTTGGATTCTGTCTAAAAAAGAAACATCTATCTCATCAGAGATACCTGGAACGCGTTCGATTGACTTATACAACACATTTCCAACTATCGTTATTGTGTATTAATATTTTGTTTGATTTTCGGGTTTTGCAGTGATCTTTTTTGGTTACAACTGCAACTGCGGTAGTCATCTTCAGTGGCTTGGTCGAATACTGATTTCTGTCATGTCATTTATAGTTCTGATTTTTCGTGCATTTTCTATAATGACGGGTTCACGCGTACTTTCCGCACGATTTGAGTGACATGGATTCGTTTTGGCGCCTTTCAATGTTGTTTGCCAGATCTTTGAAGTTCTCTTAGTGTTTGTGTATTTCTTTGGCTTCTAAATGCATTCTTGTTGAATAATGATTCAACATTGCTAGCCTCGCTAATCGAATATACGTAGCCTGCGAAATTTGAACATTCGCCTTATTTTTTGAGCAGTCATACATAAGCCTGTAGACCTGCTCAAAATCAGTTATGAATGTTCAGTTATTTCTGGTTACACTCACGAGCAGAATCCGCGCTACTCCGAAAAATCGAATCATGTTGTTATTCTTCCGCTATATCATGTCAAAGTTATCTTTAACGACCAGCCGGTATATATTTGCAAAGATTAAACGTTCGAATTGTGAGATGAGTTACTCAAACATAAAATTCAGTATAAAATCACTTTTATTTTTACTTACATAAACTAATTTCGCTATAAATACATTTTATGGTTGGTGTAACGATGTGTTAGCTTTATTGCTGATTTCGCTTCATAAAATATATCGAGTTACTATTGATTTTATTCTCGTATGTCCGGTGACTGATTCCTCTCATTGAATTTTCGTGTTTTGTCCCTTGTAATAAAAATTTATATTCCAGTATAAAACAAGTCTGAAACTTTGGAAATAGATTTCATTCCCAATACGAAATATTTACATTTGTTCACAAATAGGATTTGAAGCTTTAATAACTTCTAATTATTATATGCGAGCGCTTTCGATAGCAGGCTATGCTATCATCTTCATGTCTACCCAAACTGAGCGTTTTATCTTCTTGTTTGTTCTTTCATACAGCTAGAACGCTTTAGTGCAGGTATTTGTCCTCTCCTTTCATCCGGATGTCTCTTTAAATTTGCCTGTACATCAGGTAATATCCTTTGTTTTGGTGTTTCTCTAGGTTCATCATTTTCAAGAATGTGTATTGTATCGTTTAGTATATAGAATGTTAGATCTTGTTGTAGAACCAAACTTCACTTCATGGAAATCCTTCAATATCCAATCAACATATATCCTCATCAGCTTTGACATAGTACCCTTTTCCACGAATATTCCACAATCCGAAACCCTACTCCTTCTCAAAACGAAACATAAAATTCCGAAAGACATGAATATCCTCATCAACCACTGCATGTCCATCACATATTCCATCCGTTCCCAGGGCAAATTTTACAAACAAGTAAAAGGCGCTACATTGGGTTCTCCACTCTCTCTAGTCCTTCAAATCTCTATATGGAGAACTTTGAAACCAGAGCCATTGACGAGGCTCATCTCAAACACACGTGTTGGCTTCGATACGTGGATGATATCTTTGTTATACCGCCCCATGAATCTGAAGGTCTCTAAACCACATCTCTCTACATCCCGACTTAAAATCCACAGTGCAAGTCGAAAACACAAACTCACTTCCTTTCCAGGACGTTCTCATTACAATGTCCAACAACTTTTTCTCGCACACTGTCTACCGAAAACCTACCCATCGCCGCTATCTCAATACTAAGTCCCATCATCATTCTGCCCACCTGAATTCCGTTTTGAATTGGCTTATACACCGATCTTAAAAACTCACTGACAACCACAAAGATCCAAGCAACTCTAGGAGCTCAAAGCCGCCCTTTACCAAAACGAATATCCTGTATCCTGTGTCCCAAGATCATTCAACGACAGCAAAGCCATCCGATGAAGAGACTGACCAGCCAAAAGGTTTTCTCCCTTACATCCATGGATGTAAGGGAGAAAAAATCAAATCTCCACCTTTTAATGAACACACAAGGTCACGATACGCAATGAATGAAGATACTGTCAGTATTGTCAGGCAAACATAGTAATATCTACAATTTTGTTTGTAACATTTGGTATGTATGGGTACTTCCCCAACAAGAATGTGTATGAAAACAAATTTAGTCATTCAATATTTCATTTCATTCATAAATGAATCGATATAGAGGTTATGTAGTCGTTTGATGAGAATGACATACTTTCAAAATCAAACATTTTTGCGATTCGATGTTTAATGACTTCGTGTACGAAAGTATGACTGAAATAATTTAGAATTCATCATGGCGAGAATATATGACCTCCAGTCATTAGATTTATTACTTTGTACTTCAATCAGAAACTTTTGAAAAATATGTAAATATGTATAAAATTATTATGTATCTATCCACTGTATTACAAACTGTCGTATTAATAACATTCTAGAAATGTCATTTTCACCAAAATAATCAAAGAATGACTGCAATAATAGCTGTCCACTGTGGTAAGTTTTTCACCTCCTCATTTATTCCTACATCTAGACGTGAATGCTTATTTACAGGTGCAGGTAGTCACAGTAGCAAGCTCTATGGTGATTATAAGAGGCTTTGCAATAGAGCATGCCGAAAAGGCATTCAAGTATTACAAGAGGGGGGTACAGCGATGGAAGCAGTTAAAGCCGCAGTAATAGGTGAGGATTATAAGCTATTGTATTATTCTTCATATATATAAGTACCCTGCTGTTTTTCCAATATTTATATAAATCATAAGTCATGAATGGAGTATGAGCTTACCACTTTCCTCTTATGACATTTCTAGTATTGGAGAACCACCCCATGACGAATTCAGGATTTGGCTCAAACCTTACATCAGACGGCTTCGTAGAAAACGATGCCTCAGTAATGGATGGCAGAACGCTGACCTTTGGAGGCTGTGGAGCTGTCAAAAAAGTCAAAAATCCCATAGCTTTGGCCTACGATATATGTCTCAAACAATCAAATACCCAACCGCTGGGTCTTGTTCCACCTTCACTGTTGGTTGGTCAGGGAGGACTGCAGCATGCTCGCAATGCTTCGTTGAAAATAGTTCCCAATAAAAGATTGATAAGTAAAAAGGCTTTTCGACAATTTACAAAGTATAAGAAGCTGTTGGAGTCACATGAATCTCACGAAAGATTGGACACTGTGGGAGCTGTTTGTATCGACAGTGAGGGACATGTTGCTTCAGCTTGTAGTTCAGGTAAACAAAAGTTGAATATCAATTGATGATTTTGATAGTTTGAACAAGAGCCTAGAGTTCATCAAAAAACAATGATTCCATTAATAATTTTTTTTACCAAAAGTTACTGGAAACAAAAGTGGATTTATCAAATATAATGAAAGATCCAAAGGACAGGTTTATTTTCATAAGTTACTGTTTACTGCTTGATATAAACTGGAATCTTCCACTTATGCAAGCTAAGGAATAACGGGGTCTTCACTTTTAACGTGCGGTTACTAGCACGGTGCTAACAATTAGTGTTATACTACAGTTTCTCAACTGGTGGGTTTCAATTGCTCATAATTACTCTAAAATAACCTCAATAGAGACACTTTTCAGTTTTAATCGTAGAAAAGAGGTTCTACAAGGGCGCTTTGAATTTTATCAAATTTTAACACGCTCTAAGTTCTGAATGATACATTCATAATGGGTTTGAAACATAACGTTATTTTCCATTTGCACATTTTTGTATCAAAGTCAATATTTCTCTTCACAAATATTGTTTCAATTCTATCAAAATTTCAGGTGGTTTGATTCTGAAAAAACCAGGGAGAGTAGGCCAAGCGGCTCTTTACGCTAGTGGAACCTGGGCAGACAGCTTGAACAAAGATACCGAATCTACGGTCGCGGTATGCACCACGGGGTGTGGGGAGTACCTCGTACAAACCCAGTTAGCCAAAGAGATAGCTGACGTTATCAAACCCAGTTCTAGTCCCATCACTGACCTGCATAGAGCAATGACTAGTCAATTTCTGGAATCAAGATATCTGAGGAACGTCAAACAGAAGATGGCAGGAGCGTTAGTGCTGCACCGGAATAGTGAAAGTGGAGAGACGTCATTGTTGTGGGGTCACAGTACTGAAACCATGGGGGTTTCGTATATGAAATTGGGAGACAATAAACCGAAGGTGAGTTGAATTGTTGCTCTGTACAAGTAAGAGAAGGATGTCACAGGGAGTATAATAAACAAATCAATCAGGGCAAAGTAAGGGGAATGCAGTTAACTATTTTGATATAAAATGAAAAGATCATCCAAAAAATACTTGAGGTGGTGTTATATTCTGCAGTATTTTTTCTTTCTACTAGCTTAGTGATTGAAATCAATTACAAATCCTGTAATGTAATCATATTATAAGAGGTTCACCATCTAAATGTTCACACAATGTCGGAAAAACCTGTTTGAAATAAACATTTATTCAAATTGACAAGGTGTATTTCTAAGAGGGATTTTTTTTCGGAAAAAAAGATTTTGGCTTTCTTCTCGAAAAACCGATGAATCGTTTTTTTCTGGATTCTTTTTTAATGGAGGGACAAATACAACTGAAAAGAAAAAATTGTGAATACAAATATACACACAGGATCATTTAGAATTAAGGAATAACATTGATACTTTGCAGACCCCATATGTGAAGTACGCAGATCAAACAGTCTCATTGTTTTTGTCTTTTCAGAGCATTATGTCTGAACTACCTCACTCAGCAGAACCTGGAGAAACCATCAACATAGGAGGAGCACACTTCTTCAGTAATAACCCTTCTTCGAAACCTCTCACTTGAGTTGGAACATTTCTCAGTTCTGTACCTTTCACCTCGCCAAAGTTATTTGATGGTTATCGAATTGAAAAGATTGTTCTTGTAAACAGTTGTTTATTGCTTGTTTCAGTTACAGAGTGATGTGGAAATATATGATTTTTTCCTACACAGAATGGAAATAAACTGGTGAAAAACTACCATTAACTTCGAAGAAACTGAGCTTTTTGGTTTTTTTTCATGAAAATAGTGGACATTTCCAAACTATCAAATGATAAGCATAGTTTCTTCATTTTAGTCAGTGTTTTATTCAAAGAGAAGTTTGTTGGGTAACTGGATCAAATTATTTTTGTTTTCTTGTCAAAGTTTTGAATTCGTATTAAATTCTTCTTCAGAGCTCTATAACAACGAATTTTATTTAACATGCCTGCCTTAATCGTTACACAGCGAAAAGAAAATGTTCCATGTCAAAACTATAACTTGGTTTAAAAAACATTAGATGCGTTAGATACATATAAAAAATGAAAAACACTGTGGCAAACAAAATATTTTTTATTGACCAACAGAGTGACATGAAACGAATGGCTTTATTGATCAACAAGAGCTGTCAACTGTTTTCGAATCTCCATGTGTTCTGACACTCGTGTTTTGAAATACCGCCCGATTTGGCCAACATGGCGTTACATATGCATAATCCAACTTTGTTGGTCTTTAATTCACAAGAATACCATAATAAATGATTCTTACAATAATTCAATATCTATTGATTTTACACTGTCTTTGACATAGTTACAACATGAAATATTCGGAATAGATACCCAGATTTAGGTATGCAACAAGTGTCATCTGTGACGTAATTCTAAGAGTCCTCAATTACTTGTTTTCAGCTATCCCCATACTCGAACTGATTGGTCCCAGCTGCAGGTTGCTATTGCCAACCCATTGTTAGCTACTGATAGGGAAGTCACACGGTTTTCGTGACCAGAAAGGGTACCTGCAACAAATATTTTGGACAGAGAAATTGAAGAATGATGAGTCGGTATTAGGTTATTTCAAAAGTTCTGTCCGTTCTTAAGAGTGTTCTTTAAACGAATTTTTTGCCCATTTGCGCATATTTCAATATTGTGTTCCGTGATTTCTATGAGGTTATGACAAAAGCACATTTGAATAATTTGAAGTTTGGTATGTTGCTGTCTACCAAAATTATACTCTGAAAAATGGTTGGTATTTCAGTTGATTTGGTGGGACAACATCCTAGTCTGTTTGATAAAAATGTTGATGTCAAAATGAATCTACATGCTTATATATTTCTCAATTATTATATTGCATGCAGTAGAGTTTTTCTCAATGTGAATTTAAATCGTTTATAGTCCGTTCATAATTTGTTGATAGCTCACTGCAACCCTCATTAGAGAACTGAAATACAGAGAGGACAGCTAATATGATATAATAACAAAAACCAAACTAAAACTGGCAGTTTAAGATGTTTTCGACTAACCCACCTTGTATCTGAAGAAATACAATACAGCTATAAAACTTTTAATCCGATTATGTAGGTATTTTGAGTGGAAATGAGTGACCAGTGTCGTAGAGTATATGATTAAAACATTAGTTACTTTAAATAAATAAATATATTAATATTCTTAAACTGTAGGTACTGTAAACTGTATTTTTATTTTAAAAAAATTTCTTTANGACGAAGCCATCGCAAGCAATCAAACAAAACAAGCAGGAACGAAAGGTACGTATATGTTTGTAGGAATATGAAAAAAAGTTACTCACGCACTGCACAAAATTCGCAAAATAAATATTAGAGACGTTAATTACTGCCGTAGACGCCGAAACACCAACGAGCCGTAAATTAAATGCGATTAAAAAATGTACTAAACCAAAAATTATTTTCGTTCGTAACAACTTCACCCTTTCAAGGCAAGTTTCGAATATAAACTGAAGCTTTATATTTAATGAATAAACACCTCAGGAACCTCCGCCTATGATTTTACGAGTTTTACGACCGTTTTATGACTTGGGCCCTCATTTTGTGCTATCGACAAATTATGAACGGACTATAGATGAAATTGAAGGTTCAACTAAATATTAATGAAAATAAACCGATTAGACGGTTACCCTATTGATTGTTGCTGTCAAGGGAAGAGTAAGTATAAATGCTTGCGTTTCTGTATATTGCCGAATGCTTACCGTTGTGTTGATTTTTCAAAGTATCCCACATGTGGACATTGTTATCATCTGATCCGCATAAAAGTATTCTTCCACTCAGGGACAACCCACAAGATGTGAAACCACTATTGGGGGATGGAGGTTTATACACTGCTATCTGCTGGTCACTTCTAATGTCGAATAACCTCGCCGATTTATCTTCAGAACCGGTTGCGAAACAGTAACCGCTAGGATGGAACTAGAAATGATGAATATTTTTCTCAAGGATAATTATGGCGTTGAGGATATACTCACACAAACTGAGTTGACATCTGCTTCATGTCCGAAGAAAGTTTGCTTAGGTTTTTCCTCTCGCATATCCCATAACCTACAAGTTTTATCCACACTTCCAGTAACAAATGCATTTCCATCTGGTGACAAACTGATGGAGACCACGTCTCCATTGTGAGCTATGAAATCTGAGGTTTTTCTTCCACTCTCCAAGTCCCATTTACATCTAAAAGGATTTGATGTTTTGCAATCGACTATTTTTGGGAAAGGAAGGTTTTGGCTTTCTACTCCTCCATCTTGAAGAAAAAAGTGGGCATTTTCCGAAGCAAGAAAGAAAACAGTATATATTGATGCTGTTCATTTTTTCCAATTTTTATTTTTTGCCTCTATTCAGCGCATTACTATATGATGTCGTTGATGATTTTCCCCTACGAATTCAAATTGAACCAAAGTGCTGCTGAAGCAGCCCTGAAAATCACGTAGGCATTTGACAATGATAGTGCGAAATTACGTTCCGGAGAATTTAACCTCGAAGATGTGGGCCCGAAGTGGGCGACCTACAGTAATCCAGAACGAGGATTCGAGGACCCTGGTGGAGACTGACCCATCACAAATCGTGCGTGGGATGAAAGAAGAACTGGACGTCATCTCCCGTCCGGTTTTTGGTGATTTAAAACGTATTGGATAGGTCAATGAGCTCGAAAAGTGGGTGCCACATAGTTTGAACGGCGGACAGAAATTAACAAGGTTTCGACGTTTGTTCTTTGTTTTTTCGCAACCAAAGCGATCATTTTTTGGATTGAACCGCCACGTGATGGACAGTGGATCCTCTACGACAAGAAGAGTCGTTGAACTACACGAGAAAAGTAAAAAGCCAAAACAGTTTTTCGCAAAAATCAACAACTTACATTTTCATATCTCCAGAACCTGTGATTATGGATTTATCATCCAAAAACCGACATGAACTGAGAAATCCATCATAACCAGCCAACTCTCTCACCAATTTTGCTACACCATTGGCATCCCTGTTGTTTAGATCATAGATGGTACACATATTGTCCATTCCACCACAAGCTGGAATAAAAGACTTTATTGAAGTGGTGATTGGTAGGTATAAATATGTAGGTATGTTGTTCATCCTTTCCAAATGATTGGAAGAACTCGTGTGAACAATAATTCATGACTACAAACATTCCTCTGAAGAAATGTATACATTTATTACAAAATGATGAACATTTGTCTGAATAAATGTATACATTTTATACAAAATGAGTCTTTTATTCTTTAAATTGAGTGCAGAATCAATTTTCACAGATTTTGTATATTCACTATTGTCGAACTATACGTTCTGTATTTTGTGCCATGTGTAATAATAAGTCTCGAAACTTAAATTTTGTAGAAACACAATGATTGAACAAATATGAACAATGTATTTCTCTATTATTTATTGTACATTCAAATCTCCGTTTTCCAATTATTCTCCTTTCATACCCTGTGATTCGTTTCGCAAGGTGTTATGATTTGAGATTCGAAGCAATCAAGAGGAATTCAAAATTCTCGCTTTTAGGTCCAAAATCCATGCTTTATCTCATGGAGGTTCATTCTGTTCATTCCGTGTTAGGAATCACACGTTAAAAGGTAGGACCTCGTTATTCCTTAGCTCGCACAAGTTTCTCAACTTCTGAGAGTTGTCGTTCGTATGGGGGCGGCAGCTGATTAACGGAAAAATAGATTTTTTTTAAACAGACAGATTTTGGAACCCCCTAGCGGACCTTGTGGAACACCCAAATCGAGGTGTACTTGTGTAAAATTGAGATGATGCAATATAAGTGTGTGTGTGTGAAGAAGAAGGCGATGACGTCAATATGGAGTGGAGAAAAGCAAACGGCATGTCAGAAGGGCAGTAAGCCGTATATTTGCTAATAAAAGTCGCAATGTCACGTGCAGCACATCAAATGGAAATGGAAGGATTGCAGAATTATTGACGAAGAAAAAACAATGACTGTGGCATAAGAAACGAGCACTACGCTGTAATAATAGTCGTGATGGTGCAGAACATCAAATGAAATGGGAAGAAAAGCAGAATTCATTGACAAAGAACAATCAAAGGTTGTGACATATAACAAAGGCACTGAGTCATATCTATCTTATTACCAGTTGGACCGTAACGGGCAGCAGATGAGAGCATAGGGGATGCCGCAATGGGTCCCACTTGTCATCTACCATTTTGTCACTTCGGAGGTGGTGAAAAATCTTTCATGCGTCGGAGGACGCATGTCGATGGTATATAAAAATCGGCACAGTTCGTATAAAATATTTTTACAGCCAGTTAATTCAATATCAGTCATAGAAATTCAGTTTATTAAAAAGAAAATATTGTATTTTATTCATTGTTGTTCCTTGAAGAAGGTTTTGATAATTTCTATAAAGAGGCAAAACAATTTCTACATTTTCCTATTTTCTGCAGCTTCTTCAAACATAAAGTTAGTATCCAATAATTGATACGAGTATCTTTCGACTGCAGAATTTGAATTTTCTGTATCTGTATCTGTAGAGTAGGGAGGGTGAGTGTAAGCCTTAGGCCACATTTGACCCATTGTACATCCTCCCGAGGAGTTGTCCTCCTAGGTCATCTTCCATCATGTCCTTTCCAGGAAGGTGGACAGGTCGCTGGGAGACATCTCCTTCATATCGGCAGGTGTAGGCCAAGACTCACCGAACACACTCTCTCATTGACGATAACTCCAGGCACTCGCACAGGACATGCCTGACAGTCTCATCTTCCTGTTCACACATCCTGTATAGAGGTGTGTCCACTAGTCCCATATTATGGAGGTGTTTCCTTAGCTGACAGTGGCCAGTCAGAAATCCTAATGTAAGGCGTAAACATTCCCTGGTCATCGCTAGATATTTTTTCGGCGCCAGCTTCCCAGGGTCGCCCAAGGTGATCCTGGCAAGATTACATCCTTTGATTTCATCCCATCTCTTTAAAGATTGAGCATGGGTGTAACATTTGACTAGTTCCGCAATTGTCGAAGT